CACCCTCGCTATCTCGTCATCATGGCCGATTCTATAGTATTCAATTCTGACACCAATCAACACAGCCCAACTCCGCCCACTTTCTTCTACGAAACGGCCGCCGAGCGGAGCAATTGCTTCCACTCAGCCCCCCTGAATGCGACCCCCTTCCTAAAATCAACCACAAATGCGACCCCCTCGTTAGAATAGTACGAACACAACGGTTGACCCTGGTTCAGAGTCTGCAGGAGAATTGATGCTAGCTGACCTATCGACACTTTCTGAAATGTGCAACGAGTTAAGTATACTTTTACACTCATAACACGGCTGATTACACTTAAGGCCTCAAATTCTAATTTGCACCCTGCAAAGCACGAAAAGTCCCAAATGTGACGACTACCAAGAAAGTAAACTCTTTTATTGATTCCCCGTCGGAATTTTTGAGGCACAATCCAGGCAGAAGTCAAGTGAACGGCTCGCCTCCTCCGGTGGAGTAAAACTCTCGAGGATAATCCCAGATGTGGCACCCCCGCACCTGAAAATGACCGGACACGGGTGAAGGGTTTGCAAAGCTAGCTGCAGCAGCTGCAATGTTCCCCGGCCGCAGCATTCTGCCATCTGGCAAGCCCTATATGTTGCAGTCTCTCGCCTCATGTTCTCTTCTCCACGCTGTCTCTCACTGCCTTAACACAGCCACATTACGAAGGTGAGCAGACAATCAACTTAAAGGCACAACCCAGGAAAAAACCGATGATAAGAACGCTTCGTAATGATGACTGAGCTGCGCGATGGCCTGAAAGTGGGAAGGACAGCTGGAGAAATCTTCGGAAAGCTTAAGGAGAAAAGAAAGGAAAGAAATCGCTGAAATTAAGGCCTTAACCTTCAAAAGGTCGGATGTGGAACGATGGCGAGGCAGGGCGGTCAAAGAAGACAAAACACGCGAGAGATCACGCCGTTCGAGAGAGCACGCCGATATCGAGGTGGGTGGGAAGCGTTGCAACGGGGGTCGATGGTTGCAGGCCCGTAAGGATTAGCGCCCTAACCGCGCAATTTTGCGGCGAAGCTGGAGTGATCTAGGTAGGTAGGGACCTTACAATTTCCCTCGCGGTATCCTTCCTACAAGTCGGGCTAATCCGGAGTTTGCCTTTGAGCGTTTTCGACGGGTTCTATTTCCTTTTCGTTCGCTTCCGACTAATTTCGCATTAATACTTTCGTTTTCGTGTTCAATAACCACTCCAGGTACTCCCGCGGCATGCCTTTTAAGGATGCCTTGGAGCGGCTGTGATGCGCGCGATAGCGGGCGGAGCAAAACTGGTATTATATATTCCAAGTACATGCTTGCACTGAAATCGTCAAAAAAACCGTTGACCCTCCCCCACTATCCCACTGCTCCCCCGTAATTGCACCAATGGACACACAGTCTCCCATTCCGGAATTTTTTTGAAGTGAACTAATGCCAAGGTTTAAGACTGTAGGAGCGCCAACTGTGGGTGGGGGAGGAAGAACAAGTTGTAAATTATTGAAATAGGCGCAACGGGACGGCTGCTCTGCAGGAGCGAAGAAGGGGCTACAGGAACTATGCTATCTTATTCCAACCGACCAAGTTTATCCGTCACAAAAATGCACACTTTCATAATTGTACCTGTCAAGCGCCAATTGTTACACTTATCGCTACATTTTTGCTGTTCTCTTCTATTTCACAAATGTTTTATTCGCAATTCAACAAATGAAATTTTTGAAAACACCCTATCAAAGTCCACTGAAAGCCATGGAACATTCACGTCGAGAATCTTCTTCTCCCATTGCTAAAAATTCGGTTGCCTCTCTCCTGAATACATCTAAACCCCACTCTCTACCATGAAAGATCTCTTATGCTCTCCTCTCGTTCAGCTTGAGCAAATCAGCGGGCCCACCACCACCACCGAAAGATGACAAACGGGCGGGAGCTATGTCAGATTCGTGCTGAAACTCTTCACGTTAGTATTACGCTAAGAACTAGCAGACTATAAATTACGACACGTCTCCACACATCCTACAACGTCAGAACTGAACATATTCTCGATGGCTGATACTATATTTGGAATATAATATATTTACTTTAATAGATAAAATATTTTCTGCTGTCATGATGTCGCGCATTCCTTGCGCAGCGTAGATTCACCACTGTATTTATTTCGATGAATATAGGCACATCAAGAACTACGCATGGGTCCAACAGGATCACAAGACCCGGGTGGCGAAATATAGCACAGTCAGTCGCACAGCAAAACGCCTTTGCGTACGAACATCACCAACGGCCAGCTATCTGCATGCGCAATGAACAACAACAGTATCTGTGAGGTTGTAATGACACCCGTAAACTAGCAAGTATGGGCCTCTTTCATGGAAATTTTGAAGTGTGAATCAGACAGTATGGATGGATGCATGTAACAGTACTGTCTGAGAAGGATAAAAACACTGACTCTGCAACATCCCTGCCCCCGATAAAAACACTGACTTGAACATCGGCTGGCCCCGCAAGTCATTGTATAGGCCACATCGCATTCAAACGCCACTGCGAATGTACAAATGGAAGTAGAATGCGTGCCGCATCCCAAAAAGGGATTGATCAACGGCAAATGCTTTATCCTTTATCCTTTATCTTCGTATAATGGATGGCGATGCGGAATGGGGCAATTAGTTGACAATCTCGTAATTTTCCTTGATTGCGATAGTCGGAATCGTATGAGATTTGCTTGGTAAATCACCGTACTCTATAAAGGGGTCAATCTCAGCGAAGAATGTTGAGCGTGACTGCAAAGCGTTTGTTATGACTCGTGTTGGTCAGGTTCTATCGAGGGTTCGAGTATTGGGGAGGAATTGAATTTTAGAATGCTGTTGGGAAATGGTGAAATATTGTTGGAATTCTGATTTCAGGGTTTCTTTGAGTGTTTAGGTGTTTCTAACCCTGTTTTTCAAATGCAGTAGTAATGCCTTCATAAGATTCCTGTAAGGCTTTACTACTAATGATTTCTGATTCGTGAGAGCTAAAAGCTTCTTATTGTCAGGTGTATCATGTGACCAGTTTAGCGTTTGGTGCTTTTTTCGCACATGCTACACGGTTAGTCAATTCTTGGTGCGATGCTTTTCATTGTATTTGTACAATGAAGTGCAAGTATGCCTAGATTTCGGGCTGATCAAGGATTAGGGACCGATACTACAACTGCTAGCCTCCTCAATTTTATTCTTTTAGATGAAAGAGTGACAAGCGAGAGACGGGTAAATGACGACGACGATGATGATCTGCACGTGGGTCAGCGACGCCAAATTCGTTCGGAGCATCGACGTGATCGAAACGAGCGTGTGGATGTTCGTGTTGTTCGCAATGTACGTGGCAGCCGTGGTGGCATAGGCGCACATCGAATGGATAGACATCAACCCATGAAGTAGGTTTATTTTCTCGTTTTGGATTATTTATTTAGCCTTGCACCAAACTGCTGTTACTCACCTCTGATATTCCTCATCTATCCCTCTATCAGGGGCCGCAGCGGAAGCGGCATTTATGGAATTTTATACAGTTATTCTTTCAATATAATTTCGATGCAAATTTTCTTGGTTATTACCATATTTCTCGCTTTTCTAGCACGAGTCTTACAATAAAGGAAAGTTTGTCTTGTAAACCGATCACCTCAGTAACTCGATCTTAACGACTGCTATACGCCTATGATAATTTTGATGAGAACTGAAACTGATTTGGCTT